GATACACTTACCTTGTGATTCTTCTTCATTTAAAATATACGGTTTTGCATAGGCCTCTTACGGGGGAAGGATTTACCGCAAAAAAATTCTAACGAGCGTGTCAGCATGCCTCCTGGGCGCGCATGGAAATGCTGATAAAAAAACAAAAATGTCAGGAGTGGGATTCGAACCCACGATCCCATTCTGGGAAGCAGACGAGAAGTCTACCGCCTTAACCACTCGGCCATCCTGACATCTTGCTTAGGTATGTGTCGCATCACGGTTTTGTATCACCCATACGCGCCGTGACGTGTCGTGACGTGTCACGCTTAGGTTATGTTGCCACCCTTGACTTACGTGTCGTGACGTGTCACGCTTAGGTTGTGTTACGCCCTTCCATCGATCCTCGATATTTTCTAGGGGGTGGGCTAGCACCCCTTCGTCGATCCTCGATTATTATTTAGGGGTGGGTTAGCAACCCTTGTTCAATCCTCGATTTTTTAGAGGGGTGGGTTCGCACCCCTACGTCGATCCTCGATTTTATGGGGGGTGGGTTAGCACCCCGAACTTAGGTATGAGTTAAGCCCCTCCAAGACACCTTTAAAAATAGGTTAGGTTATGTTAGGCACCCCCAAGACACCCTCAAAATTAGGTACGGGGTTAGGCACCCCCAAGACACACCCCTAAAATTAGGTACGGGGTTAGGCCCCTCCAAGACACCCCCAAAATTAGGTTAGGTTAAGTTAGAGCCCCCCAAGATGGCGACCGCGACATAGTGCCACAAGATGGCCGACCGCGACAAAGTGACACACTTACTACTGAGGTGAAGAGGTACGATTCCCTCGGCCTTCTCCCAATGGAGAAGCCAAGTCTGCCGGGGTTTCGGACCACCACGAGGGATCAGTCCACCCTCACGGATCGACCACCACCTCCCCCGCAACCACCCAAGAGGAAGCGGGGAGATCCGTCTGCGCCGCCGCCGACCGACTCTTCACCTACAAGTGTGGCGAAGAAGAAGAAGGCGGAGAGTAGCACTCCCACGGCACAGAAACAGTGTTTCAAGTGTCAGCAGTTGGGGTGCGAAATCTCGCGGTGCAGTGGCTCCGACACATTCCGTCGGTGTGCCGGCCCGCACCGAAGCTCAGCGTGTCCCAAGACCGCACCGGTGCGCTGCGCAGTCTGCGCGGGCGAGCATCCATCCAGCTCCGGCAAGTGCCGCGCCCGCCCACGCCACCAGCAGACTCCAGCTCCTGCTCGGCCCAAGAAGACCGCCTAGAAGCGCGTCGCGCCCAAGACCAACAGCAACCAACATCCGCTGCAAGATCTGGGCTCTCTGGTCCAGCTGATTACGCTGCAACTATTGGACCAGCTTCGGCTTAAGTCTTCTCCTGCCGTGCCCCGGTCCAAACGGCGCATCTCACCACAAGACCCCGGTGATGCGCAGGTTTTTTAGGGCGGTGAAATTCCCCCACTACCCTACCCCACTAAAAAACCATAGTGGGCGGGTGCCTGAATGGGTCTCCATCTTGGAGGCGGGTGCCGAACACCCCTGGGATGACCAGCCATGAGGGTTTTTCCTGTCGCGACCTGAGTACCATGTTGTTCTTCAAGACCAAGTCATTTTGAGGACGCGCTCTAAAGTCTAGAGGCCGTGAGGTCTCCGGACAGAGCAAGGTACTCAGGCAAAAAGAAAAAAAAGAAAAAAAAAACCACAGAAAGCAGGCAGCACAATATTATCATCAATGTCATAATAAGACAAACCTGTTACCTGTATGCAACAGGTAGAAAAATTTGTCAATATTGGTGTGTGGACTCCGTCCGAGTTTAAAAAGAAATGGATGTGTTGTGGGACCATGAGTGGCTGAAAATGTTGATTTTCTTTTCGACTTTTACAGGACCAACATATTCCTCAGTACTTTGATCAGAATGGTGTCAGATTTAAGTATATAAAATATTGTAATGTTACCGTTCCTGCCCAGACCTTAATAAATCCACTGATCCAGTACTTCTGTTGTCTCCTTTCCTTAGTCTACCGCCGCTACAGTTGGCGCAGTCGGTAGGACTGAAGTAAGGAAGACCAGGGTCTGCGATCCGTAGATATTCACGTGTTAAACTTGTGTCTTCGGCCTCCCCTCGACTGAGCTGCCCCCGGCGTCCCTGGAGCTGCGGTTCCCCATGTCCCTTGTGACCCTCTGCCCCTGCCCCAGGTGTCCCTGGAGTTGCGGTGCCCCGTGCCGCTTGTGACCCTCTGCCCTTGGTGCCCCTGGTGGCCGCCCACGCTCCCGGACCCCCAGTCCCTCAGTCGCTGGAGACCTGGCCTCGCCATGGGCCGCGGTATTCCCCGTGGTCGCGGAGGTGGCGGTGGACGCGGTCAGATAGGTAGACGCGGAGCGGCCGCAGTAGAGCCCATTGTTGAGCCGCAGCGTGGGGGGCGCGTCCCATTGTTGAGCCACGGCGCGGGGAGGGGGGGGGGGCGTTTCACGCCCCAACCCCCGCTTCCTCGACAATGCGGACGCAGCCGGCAGCTGCCACACGCAGCCGCTCCCGCTGGCATTGTCGGCGACCTGGGTGAGGAGGAGGAAGTACACGAGGAGGAGGAGCAGGCCGTCAATGTGCCGGCCTTGCTGAGGGAGCTTGAGGCTCTTAGAGCCTTCGTTCAAGCTGGCGCTAGCCTACCTCGCTGTTGTGGCCCCGGAGCAGAGGTCGGCATCCGCGGCTGAACGGGTCCCACTCTGAGCGCGCGCCGTGCGCAGTCGGTGTGCGAGAGAGACAGAGCGAGAAATCCGAGGAAGCGATGGCGATGTACCGAACCTCGCCGAATGCACCCGAGAGAACGGGACTCGTTTGAGTGGCCGAGTCTCGCCTGCCGGTCACCTGAGGGCGTGGCTTGGCGTGGCGCTGGACTGACTTTGCCTACGCGCCACGCAATGCCACGCTTGGCCAGCACACGGGACCCGTTGACACGTTCGGGTCTCGGCGAGTGGGAGTGAGCAAGTTAGACCGAGAGCGGGCGGGACGGGACGGGTGACAGAAGCTGGAGCCTGGCTTTGCAGGTTTACTCGTGCCTTGACCTGCTGCCGTTCAACTAGCCGTTTCCTTTGACAAAATGAACACTCATCCATGACGGCACATATTGTGGAGTGTCCTGACCATGAAGTGCAAATTTCAGCTTACGGACACGGCTCGTTGCAGGCTGTGCAGGGCGGGCGCGAGGGACCAGCACCAGCTCCAGGTGCGTCCCACCCTTGGAAGCGCACCGCTGTCAGAGGGGTGACCGGGGTGCGGCTCAGGGTAGCGAGGGCAGAAGGGTGGATGTTGCGAGAACGTCCGGAGGGGCAGATAGACGAAGGACGAGGAGTCTTGGGGCTGGAGATGACCGAGATGGCAGGACTGGGTGGCCGGAGTGGACTAGAGGAGTTGACAGGACTGGATTCCAGTGGACTGGCCAGGACTGGAGTCTGGTGACTTAAGTGGACTGCAACGACCAACCAGGAGAAACAGTAAGGTGAAAATGTTTTAAGATTAAGGGCTTGGTCTGGGTTTGGTTCGTGGTCTTCGGGCTGGTGAGC